GGCTCCCCCCTCGGGGCGCGGCCGGACGGGCGCTCAGCTCGCTTGGGTGCGCCGCGCCCACATCAAAGGCGGCCCTGCCTGCTTGCCTGCCTGCCGCGGCCTCTCCACTGCCTCCTCCTTCTCCTGGCGGCTCCGGTTGGAGGGAGGCGCTCAGACTCTCGGCGACGGGACCGGCAGCTCCGAAGGGGCAGAGCCCCCGAGGCTGGAGCTGGTGAGCTTTGGAAGCCGTCGGAGCTCTGCGCCAGGGAGCAATGACCCGCGCCGCGGCGCAAACGCTGCCCGAATTGGACAGGCGGTGGTCCCCAAGAACGCAGTTAGCTTCGGAACGTCCTCCCTCGCCCACATTCGCTCCTCACACTCACACCCACCAGTGCTTGAGTGGGGGAGCGAGGAGGGGGCGGGTCAGGCCCAGCCCCCCGGGCGGCTCCACTTCAAGGGGGTCGCTTTTATCCGCCTGCGAATCCACGCAGGATCGTGGAGTGTCCCAGCTGCCCTCTCGTGCAGCTGGCCCCACTAAGTGATCCCCTCTCAAGCTCTCCTTCTCTGCATTGGATACAAGTGCAGACAACCTTGCGAGGCTGAGGGGGAGGGGTCTCCAGGGTGTCTCCTACTCCCCCGGCGGGGCTCGGGGCTGGGGACTGGGGCTCTCAGCTGGGCTCAGGTAGGCGAGCCAGCTTTGGAAACGCACGGCTGCCACCTAGCGGCCCCGAGGCTTCACTGCAACCCCAGCCCGAGCGGGCTACCGACGGGGGGAGCCAGCAGGACTCTGGTCAGCGACCACACTAGGCCCTCTTCCGGGCGCCTGGCTGAGGCTTGCTTCCCTTTGCAGGCTCAACAGCCTGACTCCTCCGAGGACTCCTCCAGGACCCCTCCGAGGACATCTCTTCTCACCGCCTCTGCCCCTTCAGAGGCATCACTCTTACCTTCCAACCTCAAAATGATGTGCGTTCTTGTTACATGCAACTGCCTGTGACAAGCCAGGCTCTGCCTTTGACACTAACAGGGAAAGGTCATAGTAGAAAAGAAACTGGAGAACAAGCTCAAAAAGCACAACCCAGGAATCCAGATTACCGGGTTTACAAACCTCCTTGTGTCATTGGCTGGGGTTGATGCTCCCACATGGAGTGTAAACTGAGGTAGGTGCTACTGAACACTATTTCCTAGGCATGGAATACGAAATAGCAACAATTGTCCGCAGTCCCAGGCCTCTCTGCAAGCTGTTTCAAATTCCCTTTAGAAGCTGAGGCTATCTTACACATTGGACACAAGTGCAGAAAACCTTTTCAAAACCAGCTGCCAAGCGATGGGGAAAGTTCTTGTGTGAAGTGCTGGGCTGAATTTACTCAGACATCCTCAATGCTAGGACTGGACTTGCAGTTACTGGTAAGTCCCAAGTCCTGGAGAAAATGAACGTATCCCAAGATAGGTGCAATGACCAGGTGCCACACAGAGGGACAGAAATGCCCTGCTGGGTCCGGAGTCATCACCACCATCCCTGGTCTTGCTTTTATATGAAGAACTCTGACAGACCAGTCAGGAGGTGGTTTTGGCCAAGTGGGGCGTTTGAAGTATCTCCTTGCTAAGAATCTTACTTCGTTTTCTCTCCTGTTCTCCATTACTTTTGGATGGAGTAGGTATATAACTATGTTCTATCTAAAATGCTTGCAATTTTTTTCATTGCTCCGATAAAGCGCATTTGTCCATCTCACAAATAAGACTATCACTCAACTGTGACTGACCAAGAAGTCCAGTCGAGAGAACAGTTCTGAATAAGGGTGTAAGCTCGGCAGAGGTCCTAGATTTGAGTGTTGCCTCTAACACTCCAGCAAGTCTGAGGCTGTGCTTCCCATCTACAAACCATGGCCAAGAACAGTAACAACTCACTTGAGAGTTTACTGAGAGCGGGGTTAGGCACACAGTGAAGGTTCCAAAGGTTTTTAGCTATTATTAATAATGCTTATTATAGTTTTCAGGTTATTTTCACATTATTGTCTTCATTTCATGAAGTAGGGAGGTGAGGTCATTCTCGATTTAGTTGGTGTTTAACCAGAATTGTCTTTTGACTCCAAATCCAGTCATTTTATATTTTTTCCCATCATTCACACCCCCAAACCTAGTTTTCACATAACTATTTAACATACACATGAATCTTAAATGTTGTTTCCATCTGAATTTGACATGTCCGTATAGCACCTAACATGCGCCACTCTTTGTCATTTCTCATCAATTCAATCACTGTTTATTGAGATCCTGTGTGGCAGGCCCTGGGTGAAGATGGCTCTAAAATACACTTCACTTCTTCCAGGAAAGATGGCCAATAAGCAGAGAGCTGACCATGCAAAGAAATATTCCAGGCAAAAGATGTCACGTGCCTGCAAGTAGAAAAAGGCTGGGTGGCAGGCAGGTTGGCCAGGGGGAAAAGTGGCAGATGAGGGTGAGAACAGGCAATGCTTCATCATCCTTGGTAGACCCTCACAGACCAACAGGTAGCTGGCAAAGGCCTTTTTTCTAAAAGGTACTACTTATAGTTTTTAAATGCAGGTTTTAAGTGTTCTTGGAGTTTGACAAATGTGTAGCTATGCAAACACCTTTCTCGAGCAACCTCCCCACACCCATTGCTGGTCACATTACCATTGATCTATTGGCTCTAGACTCTAAATTCACATATATGGAACCATACAGTATGTGCTCCTGTGTCCAGCTCCTTTTGCTCAGCATGTTTCTGAGCTTCATCGTCTGTTGCTTTTGTCCATAGCTGCTGCTTTTTATTGCCAAGCAGAACTGAACAGTGTGGCTATACCAATTTGTTTGGCAATTTACCTATCTAAGGCTTTGAAACTGAAGGTCAAAACCCAGTTTTTAAAAAACTGCAGGTGAACTGGACAGTGCAGCAAGGTGAGTGGGAGGTCAACAGTTGGGACTAGGCGGCCGCGCTAGTTCGTGCTGGAGCCTGTCAGGCCTGCACTTCACCCCCAGCTCCAGGCTAGTGAACTGTTTCTGAGGAGATTCCCATCTGTGAAGCCCTGGGCCTCAAGGGGAATTGGGAAGGTATGTTGACCGCTGCCCCAGTGAATGTCAGCACCGCGGGGCAGTTACGTGTTTTGCTTACTGACTAATCCTAAGCACTTAGAATACAGTATATGCCCAAATGGTTAGGTTCTTCCTATCTTGTTTTCAAGTGAAAGGAAACAGCACCTCAATCGGACTCATTTTCCACCTCTCTCCACTCTTGTCTAAGTGTCAAGTCATCTGCAGAATACAAACTTTTTTATTTTAATATATTTTTATTGATTTCAGAGCGAGGGAGATCGAAACGTCAATGATGAGAATCATCGATCGGCTGTCCCCTGCATGCCACCCACCCGGGATCGAGCCCACAACCCAGGCACATGCCCTGACCAGTAATCCAACCGCAGCCTCCAGGTTCATGGGTCAACACTCAACCACTTAGCCACACCAGCCTAAGAACATAAGACAAACACAGCCTTCAAGTCTTAACAGGATCAAGCAGTTTAATAAGAAAAGTACACTCTTAGCAGATGAGGCTCTAAAATTTTCTCAAAACCAGCTCTTGAAACTTTCACAGCATTAAAACAGGACCTCTACTGCCAAGTTTATGAGTCAGGGAGTAACTGGCTCTTTGGTGAGAACTGGCTGGAGGGTAGCCTTAATTTTCTGAAATAACTTTAACCCTATTATCTCCACAGCCCAGAACACTTTCTTTGACTAGTAGGCTCAGTATGTACTTGTGACCCTCAGACTTTTCTTGAACTAAAACCCCACACCCTGGAGAATGTGTATAGCTTCTGCAAGCTGTGACACCACTATAAACCTCATTCCATCACTAGTCTTCATTTGCATGATCCAGTTTCAACAGATGCCCCATCTACTCTCCCCAAATGGCCTTATTAACCTATTTTGTTCTCTGGTTGAGGCTAAAGGCAACAGCTCTGTAGAGTTCTCACCCGTGAACTAACCTGACATGATTGACATCAAATGAAGCTTCCCGCAGCCAGCCGAGTGCACCCCTGTGCCCAAGTGCTTACACTTTTCCCCTTGCTTTCCCCCGAAGGGTCTCATCTGATTACCCATAAAGTTAGCTAAACAATATGAAGCACCACTCTCACCCAGACTGTAGTGTCTAAATACCATTCTTAAGAGAAATGTAGTTGATTCAATCAGCGAGTACTAAAAAAAGGCAAACT